TCCGGGCGCGGCTGGCTGTTCCAGGTACAAGGGGAACAGATAGCGCCTGAATGGTCTTGGCAAAACTACTTGGTGGGTACTGGAAAAATTTAACCAATAGTAAAAATGGATGCATTCTCACATGCGTAAATCACGGTGTAGAGGCACCAGAACTTAGAAAGTGCTCAGGTAACCGATACACTTCTTTAACTCGCACAAAACCAGACACAACAGCTAGGGGGACTGTTATGGTAGAAGCAGCAGGTTCTGGGAGAACCTGAGTGAGGTAAATCACTGTCAAACCAGAATAAATCCTGTATTACATGTGGATACACCCTTGAGAGCCTTTTTTAAAAAAAAGAGAATCTCCATGTTTTTTGTTTGAAAATGCAGCTGTTGATGACGTCAGAGCTATTCAAGGGCACTGATTTCTTCACAACGGCGCGTTAGCTGCATTTCTTTCTCCATTACTTTCCTCTTGTAAGAACAAGCCCCAGCTCCAGCTCCTGTTGATGTTTGGATCAGCCACTGGATTCAGGCACCCTAAGTTTGTAATTTTTACAGTATTGTAGTGCTTTGTGACTCAGGAATTATGAAAAAATTCTCTGTTATTTTTTCAAAACCTACTGCTGATTTCTGATTAGTCGAACAACTGTTGCGCTCTGCATCTTTTGCACGGTTCTTAAAAACACCCGTAGAAGGGGTGAAATCCTGGCCCTGGGGAGGCGAAAGGAGGCCAGACCTCATCCATGAAAACAGGGTCTCAGAACAGAGTATTGTTTAGGGTATCTAGTAGGAAACTCAGCAGTAATTTATAAACTCATTGACATGGATATATAGAAACATTTCTAGTTTGTCAGAATAAATCCTACTATTCATCATCAGCGTAGTTATAGCCTACATCAATCATCCGCACTTCAGTCCCCTTGCTCATTCTCATACTCTGCTGATTCAGCTTGAAATTTTATATCACTGATAGGAGTCTTTCAAAAAGGTCACAAAAGTGCATTCAATGTAAGGACAGTGGTTCTGTCTGATGCATCCTCAGTAACTACTCCTTCTCCAGTTAACATAATTTCAGTCAAATTAACCACATTCCACAAAAATTTGTATCCTCATCCTTTGGATTTATGCTGGAAATGATCACCAGGCTAGTGTGGAAGAAATTACATTGAAAAAAAAAATCATCAGCACCAAGTTTTGTCTGTGCTTATTTTCTAAGACCCTTATTTCATGTCTTCTGTGCTTTGTGCTCCAAATTTGGAGCTGGGTAGTTTTGAGGGTCTGGTCCACTACGTGGGAGTGATGGGGTTACTGAAAAGGTGGGACAACCAAGGGAGCACGTTCAACACAATGCATGACACATTATATGACTGATTTGGTACCTCACTCAAACATTGCCAAGACATATACTAAACACGAGTTCTGAAATATGGCATATTTACTCCTCTCCACCTGTATTGCCTGTCTAGCAGCTATAGGCAATTAAGTCTTGAACTGGTTCTGGTCTTTGTCTCTTTCTAGAAAAGCTAGGGCAACAGTAAAAAGAAAATGAATTTATGCATGTTTATGAGCTCATTTCTGATTAGCAATTGAATTCCAACATTAAAACAACCAATACAGTGCATTTCTATAAGTGCTGTTCACAAGTAACTACATGTGTTTATGGATCCATACTGTTGAAAAACTAAGGCTCTGGAATTAATTTAACCATACAATCCTGAGCTTGGGCCAAGTGGCTATTATACTAGAGCAAAAGGCCATTATGCTTGGTTCTTCTTTTTCTGTTTGAAACCTTTGACTCCGCATCTCCTCTCTCATCAACCCCCATCATAAGCAGCATTAGAAATATTCCTGAAATGGCCATGTACTAAGCCAACTGGTAAACAGCCTAATAATTTCTTTCCCATAGGAAATCAGACATGAATGTTGTCTGAATACATCTCTAACGTGACCAAATTTATTGTGCATCCATATACAGGGCTACCTGTAAAGCTGTCTCCTATGCTCTCCATGTATTCTCTTAACGTGTATATCTGGAACTACTTTTGAGTATTTGTGGTATTTTCATGAGGGTTGAGTGGAAGTGTGGTATTATTCACAACTTGCTGTTGGTAGTAAAGCTCCCCAAAGAAGAACTTCTTACTTCTGCTTGGTAGGTGCTAAGGTTTTCAGCCATCCTGACTGCCACTAAGCGGGAGCTTCACAAGCAGGCACTGTCCCTCCCCAGCAGTGCTGCCCTGCCCCACTTTGCTGAAAGCTGTAAACAAGGTTGGCTGCAGAGGTTTTGAAATTTTGTGACTCAAGAGTTGTGGCACTTAATAAAGTAGTATCCATCCCATCATGTTTCATACATCAAATTGTGATCCAGACCAGATGCCACAAAAACCTATGATGTATTGCTGTTAGAATCATAGAATCGTTTAGGTTGGAAGAGACCTTTAAGATCATTAAGTCCAACCATTAACCTAACACTGCCAAGCAACACTGTTGCTTTACATGGACTAGTTTATGTGTATGAACACCTCAAACCTTTTTTCTCCAAGTTTCAGCCCTAGGCAGTCATACAGGATGCAGGATACAGGCAGGCACAAGAGCTGAGCTCAGCCCAGCACCAGCTCCAAAAGGGGAAGACGCTGTGAAGGTTAGCCCCAAGTTCACCTTACGTAATTTTTTATTAGTAAAAACAAAAGCAGGTAGTAAACATTTTGAAACAGGTCATGTATTTGCATGCAAGCACTTCAGTAAGTGTGACAAATGTTGCCACCTCATGGGCAGGTGCAGGGTTTGATTCTGCTTGGCCGTAGGAAGGAAAAGGGATCACGGAGATGACTCATTGCTGCCCTTTCACGCTCTCCTGGGGAGGAAGTGACAGCTTGGCCTGAAAGTGGCTTTTGTCGCTTAGATTCACCTGGAACTCGTTCATTTGGGTCTGAATCCATAACCCTGGCTACACACCCACAATTGGGAAAAAACAAAAGGAAAAACAAAACAAAACAAAAGCTACACATGTTCAGGGTATTTCACCATTTCCAATACCAGAGCAAGGCAGGGAAAGAATGATGATTTTTCCTTGGAAAAAAACATAATGGTCAACACAGGACATGGCACGGTCTTGTACTGTCCAACGGTCAAAGGCCAGCATTCAGGAGTAAAACTTTTGAGTAACAGGGCAGGTGACAGAAATCTTCAGATTCGTGAAGACAATAATCTCAAACTGGACCAGGGGATTTTAATACCCCATAAAGGTAGTGGCAGCTGGGAATCCTCTACTTGTAAACCGGAGACAAATATGTTCCATCATGTATCTCCAAAGCTGAAGTTTTGTGTTGTAGCACCACATCGATTATTCACTGTTCTGCCTCTTTTGGGGAACTGCTGCAGGAATACTCTGTCACCTGTTGAATTTCTCCCTTTCTGATGGAAAGGCCGTGGCGCCATCCTCCTCTACAGGACAGACACTGTTAGAAAAGCCATTTACACAGTCTGCATCTTGAAGTACATTCATTCCAAACAGCATCACATTTAGCACTTAATATAACCGGATGAGCATAAAAGGACTATAAAATGTTTAAACAAAAATAAAAATTTTCAAGTTTGACATCAGGATGGAACTTTAAGAATCAGTGATTTTTTAAAATAAAGCTTTGTTAAAATTGATTCATAGTCAACATTTATGAATGGTCTGAAAAAAGACAGTACAGTGATCAATTGGGAGTTTCCTATCATCGTGATCTCCATATAACAGTGTAACAGTCTGCCTGCATACAACCGAAGAGAAAGAAGGATTTATAACCAGCTTGATTTTAAATATGTTCTTATGTTTATTATATTTTGCTACTCCGCTCTCCTAAAATGGTGGCCTCAGGAAAAGCTGCCTTGGCAGGCAATCGCAAAGATTCCTGTGGAGAGGAAGTGAAAAGACTGGGCATACAAACAAGGGCTGCTGCCATGTTCAAAGCACTGGGGAGAGTTCATAGAGCAAAATGCAGTCCTAAGTAAATGGGTTTCAGGCAATTTCAGTGTTAAGATAACATCATTAAGAGTAGAACAGATTGTGCTCAAACCCTGCTGTTTATAATTAACACATTGCTTCCAAATACTCCAGGGTCCCTGGTAAATAGTCCTCTGCTCAGATCCACCCAGACCAATCAGAGTATTTTCATCAGGTTCCATGCTGGGCCAGCACCTGTTTGGACAAATCCAAAAGAGCCAAAATACTCTTCTTTCTGGCCAGCTAAGTAGAGAGATGAACACAGCTTGCCTTAGTCATTGTCACAGTGTCCATATGGCTGGGAAGCTTGTTTTCACAAGAAATCGTACAAGTACTTAATTATGTCGAAGTTCACAGTCCTATAAACAAAAACACAGTATATTAGAGCAATCATCTTAACTGTGCTAAGACTTTAACCTGTTTGGAGACAGCACATGCGGGACATGCTGCACAATTGAAATCAAGCGCTATCGCCAAAGGAAATGCAATCAAGGATAAATGAATTTTTGAACTTCTAGTGTTATTTACAGCACCTGTTTTCTGATTATTTAAGATTTTTCAAATTCTAAAAAATAAATAAAGCAGCTTTCTAGTGTAAACTGGAAAATTCTTATTTCAATCATTAAGCAGTAAAAATATATCAAAATTAATAAACAAATTTTCATATGGTAAACATGATACTCTAGTTGGTGATGCAAAGCAGCAATCTTTTATGCTATTGAATGTTTTGTTCGTCTTCAAAACCACCTGTTTTAGCACGTACTACGCAACTCCTTCATCTGTACTCATTTGCAGTCTGCGTTCTTTCAGTCTTGACACTAGTTGACCCATGTTCATAGCTAAATTTGAAAAATCCAAGAATGCCACTCAATGGGATAGAAGATTTTAATGTATACTTTTGTACTTTAATGGCAGGCAGAATGAAACAGCAGTAGAATAAAACATATAATTACTTTTTTGTCTCTAAACTCATTCTGCTATACAATCTAACACTCAGACTTGGGGTTTACTGTTTGAATAAATAACTCAAATTACTGCATATAATGACAAGTATAAAATTAAAAGTTTTTTTTAAAAGTATTCAATGATGCAAAAATAACCACTCACAATGCTAAGTGAGATTAACTGGCTCAATGTCTTATTTGTTAGACTACAATCATTTAATATTCTCTCTTCACGCATCATTCTGTAACCCACTTTTCAAAAAGTTTCTATAAAACATCATACTGGGCAGAGAAAAAGTTCAGGAATCCCCAGGAAATGCTGTGTTTGAGTCTACTTAATAATCCAGTGACAAAATTAAAGAAATCAACTGCCACCGTAAGACTCGCACGACATTGTGTCACTCAAGAGAAGTGCTTTAGTTATAACGCTTTCCACAGAAACAAAATCACTCCCCTAACAATGCTGACCTTATCAACTAAGTGAAACACAATTGTCCTGTTGTAACTACCAGGATCATTAGAGACTACATTAAAAGATCCATTACATTCATCAAACATTAAGAGATTCCTATTTCAGCTACAGAAAAATGATGAACTTAGGTCTGAAATTCTTAAAACAGAAATTAAAAATTTCCAACAAAGAAACGTCAAACCTTATCTCCAGCCAAATGTGTAAATACGTAAAAAGCATGAGGATATCTCTGCAAAGACTGAATATATGCAATGGAACAGAGACAGACAAGAGGTTCTGTGGTATTAAACAGAAAGACTGTGCATGGCCAGCAGTTATCACACTAAAAGCCAAGCAGACGTTTTCTACTCTTTTCCAAAACCAGGTGGCTTTTGTTTTTAAAAAAAAAAAGTGAACTTCACTTTTTCTTCAGAAAGGAAAATGAAATTACAATCTGAACAGCTTGAATGGGAGTGGGAGAGAGCATCATTTTCTGTCCTGCTCTTTGCACTCTTCAACCTTCCATTAGGAAATATGCTAAGCAGAAAGGCTGAGATGGGAACAAGGCTGAGGTATCTGAGGATTTTAATGACTAACAAACTCATTTTAGTAGTATTACAGTAACAGAAAAAAGAACCAGGAGATTGGCTGCTTACTTGCAGTTTATTTTGTTGAAATGGCAAAGTAGCTCCTTCTCTGCAATAGATACAACCTCCCCATGTGTGGTTAAGAACTACAGGCACAGCCAACAATTGAAATATCTTAACAGAAGATCATGCCTTCGCCCTGTAGCTTCACCCCCCCATCAAGACATGAGAGAAACCCATTTATCATGGGTTCATGAAACCTTGTATCTTATCTATGGATTGTCCTTAAAGAATTAACAAAGACTGTGGGTTGGTAAAAAAATACTTAATAAAAGAAGTGGAACAAAGGAGCAAAGCAATTAAAAAAAAAAAGAGAACATGAGAAAGAACAGGCCAACTTTAATATCTGCCAGGTCATTTAAATGGCCCTATCTATACAGCATATAAACACTTCCCAACTACTTGGGGGGGAAAAAAAAAAAGAGTGCTTTCTTCCTCATAACATCTAGGAAAAGTCAGTCAGGACTTTCCTAAAGGAAAGCACTGTATCACACACTGAGATTTGAAGTGGCAGCATCTCTGATGACTACTTTCTCTGGTAAGCATGAGCTGCAGAGCGCAAGTTTTGGTCCTGTTTAGAAAAATCTCTACCCTCTGGCAACTTCAATGCAGTCAATAAAACTTCTAAAGACATTAAAGTTGCAAGGACAGGGCTGTCATTTCAAGTATTTTAATTCAAGGGCCCTCATAGTCAGTACAGAATTTATGAACTGGTCTCTGCACTCACTGTAGGAGTCAAAGCAGAGACAAGAGCTTGGGGATGTCTGCACACACAACGATCCATGTTGCTGAGCAGATGGTCTGCTGTACTTGGTACCAGTGGGAGCTTTTTCAGGGCATCATTCACGAGTGAGTTTATTGCTAGGAATAGCAAACTGACATAACGAAGCCATGGCGGTCCTGGCAGTGAGGTCCAGCCAGGCCTGAACCAGATGAAGTTTCATTCTATGGCCTGCCCAACTGCAAATTGAAATTAGTGTGTCTGTGGGGTTTACTGACAAAACTTTTGGACATTTAATAGCTCAGGAAAGCAATATATGCACTGAGGTCATGGGATACAGTCTACACCACAGATTCCTCTGAAGTCCCACATTACAGAGAAGAGCTGGCCTTGAGAACGTTTCTCCTCCTTTTCGCTACATATCATTTCTGGGCTCTGTTCTGACTACAGACTTCTTTATCCAAGACCTGCTAATAAGCTGGCTGCAGCAACAGGTGTGAGGTAATGCTGTTGGCATTTCATAAAAATAAGACATAGGCTTTATTGTTGCCTATGTGTTGCATACATTTCTGTCTGTAATTAATCATCATGTCTCCTGATGGATCTGGAACTGTTCTCAGACTCCAAAACTAGAAAGCTCTGAATGAACAGAGCCGCTGAGGTACCTACACTCATTGAATTAGTTTGTATCAACTACAGATCATACAAGATAGACTATGTGGAAGAATTCTTATAATCTATGTAGTTTTTATATCATATGTGCTATAACCACTGTTAAGAACTAAATATCATTTCAGATTCAAATACCATAATGTGCCTTTTGGTAATGAAATGGACTGACATTTTAGAGCAGTATTTTCACATGAAGTCCCTGACCTTTATCAAGACAAAGACAGTATGTTACTGTAACATATATTGCCACTGTAAGCTAATTTTTTTTTCCAAAACAGAATTGGGCTAAACTTATTTATGAGAAGTGTTGAACTTGAGATAAGACTCATTCACCCATTCTTCATAAACATCCATAGATTTCTGGTCTGGTCTGCAGAGCATTAATGACTGAGCAAATACTGGTTTTGAAGTCTCTTTCAAGACAGCAAATACAACAGTAAATGATCTCTAATAGGCTCACCGGGCGATAGCTCTGATGAAGTCCAGAGATACAGTACATTTGTATCGTGGTCCATCAAGCTGGTCATTATGGTCAACCATGGACAACAGCTGCAGAGTCACAAGTGAGGTGATCTATGAACAAGAGACATTAGTAATGTTAGTAATTTCTGCTAACGTGAATGGCAGTGGCCAACTATTTTTTTTTCCATTTGTCATCATTCCCATATTTCTTTGGAAAGTCACTCACAATTGCTCATTGATTTTCACATAGTTCTGGAGCTAGCAAACCCAGGAACATATATATTTTCACCATTACATTTTCAGCACAGCCAGTGAGAGACACAGGCTAAACCCTTCATCCTTCATATCAAGAGTTATCCTGGAGTTCTGATCAGAGAGAGAAAGGCAATGTGCGGAACAGCAATAATAGGCATGAGCTGAACGTTTTCCAAATATCTGCCTGACAGCCAGGAGAGACTTTGATTCTCTTTGCTTTATACACGAAGACCTCCTCTTGAACTTTCACACTCAAAGTTGGATATTTCTCTGCCAGCTCATACCACATTTTGAACAGATGGATATATCGCTCTACTCCAGATAAAAAAGATTTTGAAGGTTGGAAAGGAAAGGCTGGAAGATTACGTGCTTAAAAAGAGCAGGGCCTGAAAGGACAGAAATTTGCCTACAAACACAAATACAGTGTCTTGACAGAGCCATTAATTATTTTACCAAAATAGCAATATACCAGCATGTTTTTCACTACCTTTGTTCCTCCAAATGATGGCTGTGGTATCACTGAAGTGCAGTCGTGGGATGTCACTGTGAAGTGCAACTGGTCTGTTCTGCCTCAGCTAGGAGTCACAGTGGTGATGCCACTGTCTCCCTACCTCCTCCCAGCTCCCCGAGGACAGAAAGAGGTGTGCTGGTTTGGGCTGGGATAGAGTTAATTTTCTTCACAGTAGCTGATATGGGGCTATGATTTGGATTTGTGCTGGAAACAGCGTTGATACCACAGGGATGTTTTTGTTACTGCTGAGCAGGGCTGACACAGAGTCAAGGTCTTTCCTGCTCCTCACCCCACCCCACCAGCAAGGAGGCTGAGGGGCACAAGAAGCTGGGATGGGGCACAGCCAGGCCAGCCGGGAATGAATTCCTTGCTTTGCTTTCCTTGCATGCGCGGCTTTTGTGTTCCCTATTAAACTGCCTTTATCTCAGCCCACGAGTTTTCTCACTTTTACTCTTTCAATTCTCTCCCCATCCCACCGGGGGCGGGGGGGTGGGAATGAGCAAGCAGCTGCATGGGGCTGAGTTGCCAGCCAGGGTTAAACCATGATGAGAAGTAAAAGCAGAAAATAAGAAAAAATTTCCCTGGATTATGTTATAGCTGCCACTGACAATTCAAGGCAACAAGGTTATATTCTGTGAGGAGCTGGTATCTGACCACAGCTCTACTTTTCAAAAAAACCACACAACCATGACCTACCTCTGTGTAATGGTAATAGCATAGTAAGGAATTTCTGAAGAATAAATTTATCAGGAAAGGGAGTGTCAGTTTAAACCTTCAAGGAAGCACATTGCTATAAAAAGCAGCTACAAGTTCTTACCAGTATCAATCAATCAAAAAAAAAAAATCCTAACTCAGTAATAACCCCACTCTTTTGCTGAACGTGAACTTGGTCTTCAAATTTGTGACAGTGCTTGCAGGAGGTAGAAATACTTATTAAAGTTTTCCCTTAAGTGGACATAATATAAAAAAATGACACCTACCTGTGGAGAATAGAAAAAATTACGGTCACCAAGAATGAGGCAATTTTTATAAAAGCCTGTGCTTAACTTTCTTTTATGTGGCATTAGATAACAATAGCTTGGGTGCCATCATTCTGCAAAGTCTTTGGAGTCTGGTTAAGGAATACTGGCCTACCCATATGCACAAAGACAAATTACATATACTTAATTCAGGTCTCTAAATTACATTAAAGAGTAGCACATGATTTACAAGTTGTTAGCATTGACAGCATTTCAGAAAACTGAACTCAGTATATGGCAAATGGCTCAAAATCACTTGAATCACTTTGAGCATATCACTGAATTGAGATCAACCTCAAATTTGTTATGTGTTTTTATTTTCTTAAAATACTATGAGTTTC